ACTTATAACTCGCGATCGCAACTTATAACTCGCGATCGCGACTTATAACTGGCGATCGCGACTTATAACTCGCGGTCGCGACTTATAACTGGCGATCGCGAGTTATAACTCGCGATCGCAACTAATAACTCTCCATCGCGACTTATAACTCTCGATCGCAACTTATAACTCCCGATCGCAACTAACAACTGTCGATCGCAAGTTATAACTCTCGATCGCGACTTCTCATTCTCGATCGCGACTTATAACTCGTGATCGCAACCTATAACTCTCGATCGCAACTTATAACTCTCGATCGCGACTTATAACTCACGATCGCAACTTACAACTCTCGATCGGTACTTGTAACTCGCGATCGCAATTGATAACTCTCGATCGCAACTTATAACGTAAACAAACGACCAAATGATAGGACTCAAGATGTTTTATTACACCAGGCACCTTAATTTAAATTTAGTTTACAGTCTTCTTATCCATGTATTACCCGTCTCATAAACTAACTAGAATACCAAGTGATGATTAATTTATGCTGCCCCAAGTTACGCTTCGGTAGATGCTTCAACAAACCTGGTGAATCTTCCTTTCATGTCTGCAAGGTGACAAAGAAATAAATTATTCTCAGTTATCAAATTCCATCGATCTTGCCTTTAACAAGGGCGCCCTCGTGACAACACGGGGGCTGGTTGGTGTATTGTTCCTGTTTTACAGATATTGGTTCGTCAGTATGCTAACTAAGTCATATGACCAGCTTGCAGATATATCATGAGCATTCGTTCCTCAAGTCAGCTAGTGACGTTCCTTTTTTCTAAGCACCGGCAAAGAGGCTCCAGGAAACTGACTTGTGAAAATACAAGCAAAGAGAGTTCGTGCTAAGACGTTACTAAATGACTCGAGACTAAAAATCACATTGGTTCACATTAATGACGGATCGGTCTTCTTACCCAGTATAATCTACTTCCCGAAGCAATTAGAGGGCCTAACAATGCAAGTGTGGGTACAACAATAATTCTCAGGTTCTCTTTCCTCAAGGCTTTCGAGCTAAAGAAATGAACAAAAAGAAAAATAACACGATTATGCCAAAATTTACGACCTTATGACATTTTTACATTATAAAGCTCACCAAAGTAGACCTTTTCATTTCAAGCTTTTTCATGTTGAACTCATGGATAATCACATTACTATACTCGTAACGTGAGCAAGCTTTTAGGTCCTCAGTATCATTTGTGCTGATGTTTGAAGGTTATCGTAAAAGCAAATCGTACGAGTAATTTACACCTTTCCAATCACAACTAATATGGAAAGCAATGAAATGAGCCAGTGAGAGGACTTCAAGTAAAATCTGCGAACGGCGCTTAGCGTGGGTAAGAATATAACTGGCCCAAAACGCGGGAAAACATGTAACAGATGCTGAGCGCGGGAAAAACAAGTTGCTACTGATTGTGGTGACGCTTCCGATTGGTTGGAAAAACAGCAGGTTTGTTCTTATTGGTTAAAGCGTATCGCAAGAATTTAATACCTCAGGAGCCGATTGTAAACCGAACTATTACCTCATTATCCCCTTCGTCTTCGGTTTGCTCATCTCGCTCGTTTCCTTCATCTTNAAACCACCATTACCCATAGTACTTTTCGACATTGTCGCGTACGCTTATAAGCTTTTGTGGGACAACCTTTCTCAAAACAGCTGTATAAGGCCCTTGCTGACTCTTTGGTCAATAAATACTCAAATATTCAGTCATGCATATTGGTGGGCTTAATCAATAACCCATATTTATAGCATGTACAGCGTTGGTCCCTCGCGCAGTGTTCGAAACGAATACCTCCCGCAGTACAAATAAGCAGTTAGTGAGAACAAAATAAATTAGTCGACAACGCTTTTTATGATGAACAAAACTCAGCCATTTACTTCCCTACTCTCCAAATAATAACCAGTTTAATTTCCTTCAATGGATTCCAAACTGTAAACCCATAGTTAACCCCAGCTGTGGGCTCGCTAAAGTAACTAATCAATCAAGCATGCTCTACCCCAAGAATTCATTTGGCCACTCGACAAGTCAAATTTGTTCTCGAGTTCCGTGTCTTGACCAACATTTAGTATCATTTTTTTTTGGGGGGGGGGGGGGGGGATGGGGGATAATTGTTCCACTTTATTCTGTCCAAGATTGTAGATAACACTTTGTTCCTTATCACCATTCAACTGGAGTTTTTGTAATAACTTACCATGGAAAAGATTGATAACTTGGGACGAGAGCGGGCGCGCACGGATCTGTGGGATGGTTTGAGGTGCAAAGCTAAAAACAAGATTGTTGCTCAAACCAAGAGACCATATCCCATAGATGAACAGGCGACGATCTCGCCCGTCGCTCTTTTGCAAATTAAAAATAATAATAATAAAAAACATGCAGCTGAATTTTGTTGTTTGTAGTATTTCATGCGCTTAGCACACCTGGCTAATTTACAGGCTGCAACTTAAACTGAAAGAAACAGATATAACTGGCGGGAGGCAGAGGAGCTGGCTAGAAAAAATAAGGTTTATATATCTATATATGTATGTAAGCAGAGGAGTTGAACCAGGGTCAACCGGTCTAACTGCTATTAGTTTAAACGTTGCTGGGGGAACGCGCGTGCGGCTGCCAAGTCAAAAAGTAACTTTTCTATGGTAGCTTAGTTTTAGCCTCTTTATACTAGGGTTGGCTTATATGCTATCGGCTATGTTGTTGCAATTGTAGCGTCCCTGCTGTTTGTATTTGTTAATTACATTTTTTGTGTGGAGTCAAATGACTAAATAAAGTCATGATCATCAAAAAAATTGTTAATCAAAATTTATCTTTTCTCCTCCCCGGCTTGGACATACCCAAAGAAGATTTTGAAAGTTCAGGGGACTTTGCCATAAAGAGTTTCCAGTTTCTTGAGGAAAGTGAGTAGATTATTAAGCAATAGATTTATTAGAAAACGAATGTTATCTTATCTTTCTCTCTTTAAGTTTCGCTGCGATTTCTTCAACTCTCCCTAAACTACTTAAATTCTCGACTGTCTTTAATCGAATTAAGTCTTTTTTTTCAGTAAGACCCTGGAATATTAAGAACATGGAAAAGCTAGCGCCTTCTTTGATATATTGTTTTTAATATCACTGTAATAAAAGGAGACCCAGGTTCAGAGAAAGGCAACAGCAGATTATAAATTCGCAAACAAAAACTTTTTCCATCTTTTTATTTTGAGAAGCCCAATGGACGCCCGTTGGCTTCGACTTTTTTGTATGCGGTTTTTCGTATGACTCAATATAAGTGATTTACCTTTGTTTTGATTTTGCTATAAGGAAGTTGCAAGACGGGTCGAAAACTATAAAACCAGTTTCTCTATCAATGAGATAATAAAAGTAATATCCGCTTCGGAGCCCCCTTTTCCCCTACCTGAATGAATTAGGAATTTGGTTGCTAAATAAAAATAGGGTCACTAACCTTTCAGCCAAAAGAGAATTTTTGATAGAGTTCGTAAATTGGCTGGGACTCATGGTAGTTGTATTAATCATTTTTCCCTGAAAATTCTTTTTGATCAATGCACCAGCCAGAATTCACTGTAGGCGCGTATCATAGTAGGAACTGGGAGCTGGGAACTCGATTCCTATGGAATAAATTCATTTTTGTCAATTTCATATCTTTTTTTCCATAGACCTGCTGGAAGAAACCCTCAACTGTGAATACGGTAAACCAAGTTGTGAATGCGCTGCAGATGCAGATGTTTGCAGATTTAACCTTGAAATTGACGAAATTCGAACCTTCACCAGCTATCAAAAGTTATCGCTGGATGAACCTACAGGAATTGCTATGCGAGGAGCCCTGGGAGTCATCTACTATTTCGGTGAAGATGGGACACCTACTCCACTGCAGACTAATAGGGAATGTTCGAGTCTGTCCAACGTTAACTGCACCAATCCCCAGTTTGTAGATGGCAAAACGTACCGTTTGGCGATAGCTGTCAATGGACAGATTCCGGGACCTACCTTGATAGTTCACGAAGGGCAAGAGGTTGAAATTCATGTTCACAACAATCTTACCTCCGAGGGTATTTCAATACACTGGCATGGGATGCACCAGAAAGGAACACCTTGGATGGATGGTGTAGGGCACGTCACTCAATGTCCGATAGGACCTCAATCGAGCTTTTCATACAGGTATATTGCTAGTCCTTCAGGAACGTTTTGGTACCATTCTCACAGTGGCGCACAAAGAACAGATGGCTTCTATGGTGCACTAATAGTTAAAGAAACACCTGAAAGAATGGATAAAATCCAAATTGAACTCGAAGCGCATGGTGTCGATGATGAATTTGAAGACCTTCCAGATCAGCACACGTTATCGTTTCTAGACTGGCAACAGGAGGCATCTTTGGACCTGTTCTCACAGATCCACGCTGGCTTGGGCTTTTATCCAGACAAACCGCTTGGTGAGGTGCCTACTGCTGAAGATGATGCGTATACTATCACACGTGGTTTTGAAGGAGCAGGGGTTGGGCCATTCCCGTACTTTTCTGGAATTATAAATGGGAAAGGCAGGCATGCTGATGTTCCATATATCAAAACAAGACTGAGTATATTTACTGTTGAAGAGGGAAAGACATATCGCTTTCGGCTGGTTGGAGCCCAAGGAGATTTTGCTTACAGATTCTCCATTGATGGCCATAAACTTACCGTTGTGGGTACTGACGGCTATTGGCTTGAGCCTGTAAAAGACGTCGATTACATCATCATTCATACAGGAGAAAGGTATGACTTTCTACTTAGTGCAACCAATACAGATGGATTGAGTGACTACTGGATGCGTGCCGAGACTCTGGAGGTTAATACACGTGGGTCTCGACCACCCTACCAGTCATTAGGAAATGTGGCAGAGGCTGTTTTGCACTACAAGCAGCCGGAAGACTCGGATGATCCGGATGTTAATGTACCGTCATCAAAATATGAAGAGATCAAAGAAAACTCTCCTCCCATAGAGTGCACCGAAGCCAACCCATGCAAAGCAGTGAACTGCCCGTTTCTGGACTTTCATTCATCATATAGCATCACCTGTGTTAATGTCCAGGACCTACGCTTACTTGAGCCAACTCCACCTGATGAGCTTCCAAATGCAAACCCTAAAGACCCTGAGGAGTGTCCAGGTTGCAGACATTTCATCAACTTCAATTTTGAGGGTGAATCTTCAACTAGTTCACTGAACGGGCGCAATTTCATCTTTCCTTCCTTTCCTCCCCAAACCCAATATTATGAGTTTGAAAGAAAGGACACAAAGTGTGACCTTACGGCTGACTGTAATCCATATACAACCGCGTGCACATGTGTTCATGTCATAGACATTCCACATGACGAAACTGTTCAAATGGTGTTTTCATCAATTGGTCTAGTCGGCAGCGCCCATCCAATTCATCTCCATGGCCACACATTCCATGTTGTTCATGTTGGATATCCAGAATATGACAACACGACTGGTTTTGTTGGAAACCACAACAGTGATATCTACTGCGATGATGTCGACTGTACTACAGAAGGCTGCGTTCCAGGGAGATGTACCAGACCAAGTTGGGCAGAACCAATGGAATTTTATATTGATGAGAAAACGGTCAGAAAGGACACAGTTATGGTTCCTGCTGGTGGGTACGTGGTCATCAATTTAATATCTGATAATCCTGGTTGGTGGTTGCTCCACTGCCACATTGAAATACATCAGCTCCAGGGAATGGCAATGATTGTCAATGAGATTTCTGATAAGCCGCTTCGACCACCCATAGGGATGAACAAGTGTGGAGACTTTGAGATAAGTCTCAAAAGATTTCGCTCGTACACCTCGAGGGTGAAGTATTAACTAAAAAAGAGAAGGTATTACTATTTTTAGCAGCTTTTGGAATCCAGCAAAACTATTAACTAGAAAACATCCCGTGAGAAAGCTGTCCGGTACTTTTATTTAACAATTAGATTATGGGTTAGGGATTTCTATATGGTGATTGTACAGTCCAGTGAGCAAATCAAACCTCTAACCAAATTCATGTAGCCGTGCTAGAGGGTCACAATTCGTTTTGGTTCTACTTTTGCTTGGATGGCAAAGTGGTGCGAGGTTTTTGGCACCAATCGCTAAACGTAGTAATGCAAAACTAAGACAAATGGGAATTATTTTCGACACGCAAGTGAAAACCGCTCTAAACGGTAAAACCACAATCCTAAACATACTAACGAAGCAGTAGGTTTCTATTCGATTTAGATTAAGCATTTTAGACTACACCTAGTTATTCCAGTTACTCAGTAAGTATAGTATTTTGATAAGAATGGTTAAAACGATCTGTAATTTTTGGTCATTAAGTTCATTGTCACTTGGTCGTTGAGTCTATAACCTTGTGTATGGACATTTGCTGCAGTGTTCTCGATTAAAAGGCATTGCAATACATACTACATACTCATTCTTATCAAAATACTACAAAGTAATATCCACGGAGGTTTTTAACTTCAAACATTTTAGGTTTAAATTGGCGCGCCTTTGGAGTTATTTTAACTCTTACAGAACTCCCAAACTGGACAAAAATAAAGCAAATACCCTGAAAGTTCAAAATAACTCTTCCTTATGGATAATTTTCAACCCTAAAATTCAATTAAAAAAGCTTTGGTTAATTTAGCTCCTTAACAGAATGGCGTTTACTCACAGGCGATTCCGAAAATCATTGGAAACGTATACCATTGTTCAGATCCCAAAAAGGGATTTCTTTGGGAAAAATATATATATTTTCGCGGCTAGACTTTGGATAAATCACTTTGGATTTTAAATTAATTTGGATTTTACTCAAATCTGGGAAGAAATGGGAAATTATTTTCCCGTTCTGTGAAAATGTTGGGCAAAAAGCAAGACCGTTTAATTTTGTCCTTCAAACAATTCAAAATTGTTACTTTGGGAAAATATTGGGAAATGTTTAAACTTTATTCCAATCTTCACAAATTTATTTGTGATTGGGAAATGATTTTCTGACACTGGGAAATTATTGGTAACCTAATTTGGAAAATTATGGGTTTAGGGAAGGAAATTTGGGAGTTATTGTTTTGGGAAAAACGTTGGGAATTCTTAAACAAGTTCCGCTTTTTCTCAAATTTATGAGTATGGGACATTGTTTCCTAGCACTGGGAAAATTGGTAAGCCCACATTTTGATAATTTATTAGATTTTTTTCCAAATCTTGGAAAGGGAAGGGGCATTTTCCCGTATCATGTACAACTGTGGTTAAAATTAGGAAATGTAACTGTGACAAGACAATAATCACAATTTTTTGAGCAATTATAGTACAGTTTAATTTTGTGGTCAGTTACCGCACTGTGTCACACAGAAACATTTCGCCTGTCCTCCGCCAAATGACACAGGCCAGTATAGAAGACATAATAACCAGTACATTTAGTAGACATGAGGGTATTATTGTATGTGTTATTAGAATGGAATTTACATCAACAAATACAGGTGGGATAAAAACGACATGTGTGGTACGTGTTTATTTCCAATTATATTTCTCAAACTCATTAATGATTCATCAAGTTTAAACTTTAGAAGATCTGAAATTGATCTTATACCTTGCGTGTTTTAAGAGCCGTTCTAAATAAATGTTTAACTGTTGACAGCAGTTAATTGAAAACATTTTACTGAAGCTCAGTCTACAATTGCCAAGACTTTGAAAGCATTGGACTTGAAAACAGCGCATGCCCAGCTACATTTGTCTAGCGTAGGATTCGTAACATTTACCGATCGACCAAAATTCTTCGATCGAGAACAACTGAAAATCTGTGCCCGCGAGGAAATTTTAAGAACGGAAGACCAGCCAGAAGAGTTCCAATCTAAGAAAAGAACGCTTATTGACTACGGACTAACAACGACTAATTCCGAAAGTCAATGTGAAGGCTAAAGTTAGAAACAAAATAGGGAAAAAGACGACGAAGTAGAGTGTGATGGCACATCAATGACCTGGCAGGGCGTCTTAGACTTATGCTAAAATTTTTCGCAACCACTTGAAAAGGCCGATGGAATATTCACGGATATACTCTCGGTATTTCTCGTGTATTTCTCAATGTGATTCACACAGAATAACCTCGTAGGTTTTAATCAAGTTTAAAAATATAATGTAAAAATGATTTCCCTTCTTTAGTACGAAACTCTTTCCCTAAGAAAACGTCTCAAAGACAACCAACACTGCCGGAGCGTTTTCAACTAGACTTGCCACAAGTCGACCTTTTCTTAATCCTTGACTTACTTATCTCCCTCGAGCGAAGAGAGAGGGTAATCTTCGCGATTAAGTCAGGATCGAGGGCGAGCGCGAGCGACTTAGTTCGCGAGAGGTCTATTTGTTTCACCTGCAGGAATGTGAATTAATGTGTAAATTTTTGGCGCGAAAAACGCGATTGACATTTCTCACTTTTCATGTGCTCCACGCGCGATCGTCGCGAAAGCAGAAAATGATTTCCATCAAAACGTTTACGAGTACTGTTCCCTAACTCAAATGAATTTATTTGTGTAAATATATACAGTGCAGTATGTAGTCAGCAATATAGACAAACGTTAGAAGCTGTTCCATTGAGTAACGCCTCCTGAAAAGTCAAAACTGTGTTTAAACCGATCGGGAATTGTTTGTTTTAGTCTAGATTGGTCGTCTAGATTAGAGAATAACCAGTGATCGACCAGAGAGGTGCCTGACAAACGCTATAAACTTATGTAGATCTAGCTTGTACCGACAAGAATCCGAATTAACTAAAGATGACGGAATTAGTCTGGGAAAACTTCAGTTAATTCTGTAAAGCTCTCTTGATTAAATAACGTTGAGAATCGAAGTCGCAACCAGCGGCAGAGTATAAAATCGCTGTTCCCAAAAGTCCTTCATCGATCGACCACTGCTTTCAACACGGTAAAGTCGATAAAACGGCCGATGCAAATTTGCTGAGATTCCCCTTCTTTGTAGAGAAGTTACTTGGTCATTCATTTAAATCAACTAAAAGTGCAACAATTACACAAACTGCAGGAACGGTTCTGTTCCTCTTTGAAAGGTCCAAACTTAATTCTCGGAAATGATCCACATCATCCAGGAGCTCAGACCGCGGCCGTAATTAAACAAACACGTATTGGCCGGATATGTAGCCTTCCACTGCTTTTCCCTGTCCTTCTTTCAAAGACTTAAAATTAAGTTGCACAAACCATATTCAATTGCTACCATAAAATCCATATTCTTAAGTATATCCGATAACAAAAGCTAAATGAAAAAGATTTTTTGTCGTTGATCGCGCGCAAAGTCATGACTTATAGTCAGTACTTGTTTGATCATTTGTTGATGTGTATTTACGTCACCGGTGGAAAAATCCACCGGTAAAATTTGGCGCGCTGCAAGTGGGAAAAGTCCTTTCCAACGGCGAAACTATTATTGGAAAGGACTTCTAGAAAGTCTACACTGCGGTGCAAATTACCGCGCACGCGTTCGCAATTTTCTCAGTGATATGATAAATGAGTAATCGTATGAAAGCTTAAGCAATTAAGTATTCACACTACCCGTGGTATTTGAAAATTCTTCTATATTACACTAGCCTAAAGCCTCGTGCAATTTTGAGCGAATTTTCAAATATCACTCGTAGTGTAAATACTTTATTGCACTCGCGTTCATACGATTACCTTTACTTGTAAAACGAATCATCAATTGGAGTCATTTTAATGCGCACGTACAAAAACAGTATTTGATTTTAATTGGTGAACCTCGCCCCTGCCGAACATATGAAAACAACTTTCATAGTTGGCCATTTACGTGTCTAATTCAGATTTTCCGACGATAGTGAAGAAAACAAACGACCAAATAATAGGACTCAAGATGTTTTATTACACCAGGCACCTTATTTTAAATTTAGTTTACAGTCTTTTCATCGATGTGTTACCCGTCTCATAAACTAACTAGAATACCAAGTGAAGATAATTAATTTATGCTTGCCCCAAGTTACGCTTCGGTAGATGCTTTGGCAAACCTGATGAATATTGCTTTCATGTCTGTAAAATGACAAAGAAATAAAATATAATCAGTAATCAAATTCCATCGATCTTGCCTTTTAATAGGGGCACCCTTGTGACAACAATTTACCAGGGAGGGGGAGACACGGGGGCTGGTTTGTACGTTGTTCATGTTTTACAGAGACTGGTTCGTCAGTGTGCTAACTAAGTCAAATGACCAACTTGCAGATATATCATGAGCATTCGTTCCTCAAGTCCCTGAAGTCAGCTAGTGACGTTCCTTTTTTCTAAGCACCAGCAAAGAGGCTCCAGGAAACTGACTTGTGAAAGTACAAGCAAAGAGAGTTCATACTAGGACGTTATTGAATGAAAAACATGACAATAAACATCACATTGGTCCACATTAATAAATACATTGGTCTTCTTACCCAGGATAATTTACTTCCCGATCCCGTAGCAATCTGGGGGCGTAAAATATGGGTGCAGCAAAAATCTCGACGTTCAAAAATTCTTGCCTCGATGCTTTCGAGCTAAAGAAATGGACAAAAAGAAAAGTAGCACGATTATGCCAAAATTTACGACCTTTAGACATTTTTGTATTATAAAACTCACCAAAGTAGACCTTTTCACTTCAAGCTTTTTCATATTATACTCATGGATAATCACATTACTACACACGTAACATGAGCAAGCTTTTAGCTCCTATTATTTGTGCTGATGTTTGAAGGTTATCGTAAAAACAAATCTTACGTGAAAATTACACCTTTCCAGTCACAACTAATGTGGAAAGCAATGAAATGAGCCAGTGAGAGGACTTCAAGTAAAATTATTCTGCGAACGGCACCAAGCGTGGGTAAGAATAAAACTGGCGAAAAACACGGAAAAACATGTAGCAGATGTTAAGCGCGGGAAAAGCAAGTTGCTACTGGTTGTGGTGACGCTTCCGATTGGTTGGAAAAACAGCAGGTTTTTTCTTATTGGTTAAAGCGTATCGCACGTGTTAAATATCGCAGGAGCCGATTGTAAACCGAACTATTACCTCATTATCCCCTTCGTCGTCGGTTTGCTCGTCTCGCCCATTTGCTTCATCTTGTTTTTCTACGTCATCTTCAAATACAGGACGCTCTTTCTCTAATTTAAACGCCGTTGCAAGGGAAATGAGCAAAATCAAGGCGAGTGCAACACGCATCTTCTCTGTTTTTGTTTCTTTTTCCGGCTCTGTGAAACAGAACATGAAATACTTTTTTTTTTTACTTGCAGACCCTGTTCGCCATTGTATAGAGAAGCAATGTGTCCTATAAGCAAAACGGCTTCGTAAGGTTTTCATGTTACTTTACATTATTTAACACAGAGTTGTCAAAAACTGTGTTTTCGGGAAGCTTAGATCAGACTGCACTTAGAATTACATTTGTGCTTACTTTATAATTCGTCGAGGTAAAATACAAGACACATTAAGCCACAGAAGAACAGGAAACAAATTTTAAGGAAAAATCCCTGGGTACCAATATTAATAAGCTCGTTAACGTTACAAGGGCATTTCATTGAAAGTTCGAAGGACTCAGGAGAAAGGTTACAAACAAGTGCTTAGAATAGAACTCGGACGTTGACCGTTATTACTCGTGAATATTTTGAAGCGTCACTCTCTTCAGTTTGATTACATCATAGCTGATTTTCACTGCCTGGATTGGCTGTATTAGAACAACGCAGCAACCCTAGAATAGAATATTTCTTTCAGGAACATTGTGCTTTGTAAACTTTCCATTTACGTTAAGTACCGATAAAAAAGGTCTGGGTCATTGCCGCCTCTTCTCACAGCAACCCTCTCTCGATGACAGGATTTTGGTATCAACAACAGAAATAAACCCAACATACCGTAGTTTCTCGGTTATAAGGCGCACGGTTTTTTCGAGGAAAATCTGTTTTTTCGTGGGAAGTTTTTGCCAAAATTGGGGTNGCACTTGAATGAGTTCGCGATCAAATCAGCGGGTATCTCTTGCCATGCCTTTTGGATCCACTGCAAAACCAGTTCTTTGCTCGGCGCACGCTTCTTCCCCGACGGAGTGTAAGTGAACGGACCGTTCACCATCCAAGTCTGGTATTGGGATCGCACCTTGGTCTTATAATGTTCAATCAGACTGTCGATAGAAGTAGGATCTATGAAATCAAGAAACGAACGAAACCGAGAATGATCTTTTTCAAATTAAATCAAAGAACGAATATACCGAACGAAAGACAAAGGTTCTTAAAATCAACCAATTTATCTTATCGCGTACAGACAATATCCGAAGAACCGCTCCTAAGAGATCTTTAGTCAGGTATTCTGTGTATTATATGTTGTGAAATATATTGTGCAGCCTTTCTGGAACCTTCTCATACGAAGTAAAGAAACTTACATGTTTTCTTCTCCTCTCTCACCAGTGCTATAGAAAATTGCTTTCAGGGAAAAAATCGAGTGCTGCCCGTTACAACTAACATCATGTAACTGCTTAATCTAGTTACATAAATGACTTACAGCAATATACAGTCATTTTCTTGATCAGTTCCTTTTTCTGTGAAATGAAAGAAAGTCTAGTTTTCAACGTGAGAAACGAAAAGTAGAAAGGAATCCTAATAACATTAAAATGCTTTTTCTTTCTAGAAAATAATAACACAAAAGTTTAGCTTCTTTAAAGTTTTAGATACTGAGATCAGCAGTAAACATTTGATTCTGAATGGGCCCTCAGTTTAAAATATTTCATGCGAACATGTTGTACTCAGCGAACTAAAAGGAGTGAGTTTCAGGAAAAAAAAATTGTTTTGTTTGCCTAGAGCAGCTGGTGGATGGACGCAAGGGCAAATATGATGATAACACTCAGCTGATAACAAGGCAAAATCTGCTAACAAGAAAACTTACTGCGCTAGAGTCCTCTCAATTGGATGTCTTCCCTTCAAATTCTCTTCAGAGGTAGACTAATCCTTCTCAACAGGGTCGTTGCCTGTGAAAAACTGAATTTTGTGTTTTGCTTTGTCTCTTTTCTAAAGAAGACCTAACTCTAAAACAATTGCATGCGATATTGACAGCTCTTATCTTGAAGAGTCACATTATTGAAGCTCAAGTTACATCTGCCAAGACTTGCGGGAAGTTGTAGAACCTGAAAAAACTGCGCGTACCCAGCTACATTTGTCTAAAGTAGCGTTCCTAATATTTGCTTAACGAAAAATTTTCTAGCGTCTAGCGTCTAGCGAAATATTCTAGTAATTTATCCTTTTTATAGAGACCCTAAGAGAAGCAAGACCATCCAGAAAGAGAGTCGAGACAAACAACCATTCTTGCATTTCTAATGTCATGTTTCAGATTAAAGTTGTGCACGAAAATTTCTATCAGAGATTACAGTTGTAAACAAAAGGCGACCAAAGGCGACAAAGTCGCATGGACCTAGCAAGTTTGTCATCTGCCACCAGGGGAATTACCTTTTCAGCTCAGGAATGTTGTTGATTACTGAACTTGAGCTCCAAAAGAGCAAAACTGACAATTAACAGCAACTTCACAAACAACGAAAAAGCTATTGTCACATTATAATGAATTTCAAGCAAACACGTTAATGCATACGTTCAAATTGGCGGTATCGAAACTAAGAGCTCAATTTGCTTAATAATCGTTCATTGTTTTAAGCCATTACACATTACTTGTATGTGGCAATAAGGTATCATAACTGTCACGTGATTTAACAACTTTCTCACGAGCTGACGGCTTGTTTTTCTGAAATAAATCGGAAAGCGTTAAGAAATTGGTCTTCAGAAATAGCCACCAAATCAAACTTGAGTTCCAAAAGGACGAAACATGACTTTCAAAAACGACAAAACGTAAAACGTTCAGAAATATTGTGAAATTACAATGACATTTCAGGCGAACATGATAATTACCTGAAACAAATTGATTTCAAATTAATGCTTTGAAATTATCGCTCGACAAACCGTTAGGAATTGACATTCGAAGACAACCACTGAGGAAATTTTAAGAAACGTGAGACCAGCCAGAAAAAATGCCAAGCTAAGACTAACAAACATTCTTATATTCCTAATACCAATTTTAAGGCAACGTGAAAAAAAACAAAAAACATTGTGGCATAAAAATATGACAAAAACGACAAAATTAAAAGCAACGAAGTGGGGTTGTATGTTTATTACCTTTTATCAGGGAATTATCCTTGGGTATAACGTGCTCTCCAAAGGACGAAACGTGGCAGAGCCGTAGGAGTTGGGGGGAGATAAAGGGAAGGGAAAACTACGTCGGACACCTTTCAGAGTCGGATCTACCTTGAATAGTTAGCTAACTGTTTATCTTAACAGTATGGAAGAGTGTCACAGAACGGCTACTATGGTCATGTCCCTTTGCAATCCCAGGATCTCTGGTGAGATGATGTACTCTCGCTTGAAAGAGACATTGTCTTGTATGTTACTCAGTTACTCTCATTCAGTACAGTTGTTTAAACAGACGTAGTCTAACGCTTGGGCATAAGATGGCGCACGTGATCGCGAGTAGCTTAATGTTCTTTGCACCTCAATGCAATAATCGTGTTGAAAAACGGACTGAAAATGACAACAAATCGTATTTCAAAAGTGTTCCAAAATGCGTCCAATAGTGTTGCAGTGCTTCTTGTTTTCCAAATTTATCCGAGAGAAGATGGCCCCGACTCTCCTAAGAGGATGTACCTCAAGCCAATCAGCACACACCATGCAGCTGCTGAAGTCGTTGTGCCTCCTCACAAAATTTTTTTTCACGAGCCTTAGACGAAAACGGTTCTTGTCACAACTGCATGCGTGTGAAATGACAGGTAAACACGTTAATTGGTACGCCCAAATAGGCATCGAAATGGTGCTCAATTTACCTAATTACCACATATATTGTTTGTAGCCATTGCATACTACTTACATGGAGCACTTAGGTATCACTACTGGCTACCTAAAATAACCATTTCCCAAGTAACTAGCGTCTTCGTTCTTTGAAAGAAAGCGTTATTTGAAAATGTCAAGGAATTGGCTTTCGGGAAATAACCAGCTGCAGGGAATAAGTTGTTTGAAAAGAATATATCAAGAAAAACTACAAATCGTCCATCAAAGCGTTTAATAAGCATTATTTGTAGAATTTTTAAAGACCAGACTTAAACTTTGCCCAAGGTAAATTCCCCTAGTAGCAGATGACAACATATCTAGTCAACCCCACTTCGTCGACTTTTATCGTCTTTTGCTTCCGATCACTGTTTTTATGCAACTTAGCCTTAAAATTGATATTAGGAATGTATAAATGTTGTTAGTCCTAGCTTGGCACCCTTCGTGGCTGGTCTCACGTTTCTCAAAATTTCAGCAAGAGCATAAAGCTTTAATTACTCTCACTCAGTGATAAAACTACCCTGGATAAATGTAGCTGAGCACGCGCTGTTTTCAAGTTCAATGGTTGTAGGTATGTCTTGATAATTGTAAACTAAGCTGCTTCAATAAAACTTTTTCCAATTAACTGCTGTCATTTCTATTTTTCAACAATTAGGGCGGCTCTTGGAACACACAAGGTATCAGATCAATTTAAGGTTTTTTAAACTTCTAGAAATAATACTTATTAAAACTCCTTTTTACGCAATTCGTTGTTATCTTCGATATACCTTGGTGGTCATCTTCGAAAGTCAATTTCCTAACGATTTAAAACGATAATTTTAACTCACTATTTCGATACTAATATGTGTGTAATGATTGTCGTCTTTGCCTGAAATGTCAAAGTATTTTGACAATGTTTGGGAACGTTTATGTTAAGTCGTTTTTAAAAGTCACGTCTTCGTTCTTTTGGAACTCAAGTTTAATTTGGTGTTATTTCTGAAGACCAACTTCCTAATGCTTTCCGATTTATTTTAAAAAACAAGCCGTTAGTTAGTGAAAAAGTGGTTATTTTAGGTAACCGATAGCGATACCGTATTGCTACAGTTAAGTAGTATGTAATGGCTTAAAACAATGAACGATTATTAAGCAAATTAAAAGTACTTAGTTTCGATACCGCCAATTTGTACCTATCCATTAAGGTGTTTGCTTGAAATTCCCCATAACGAGACAAAAGCTCTTTTCGTTATTTGTTAAGTTGTATTTAATTGTCACATTTTGTTCTTTTGGAGCTCAGGTTTAATCAACAACATTTCTGAACTGAGAAGGTAATTCCCCTAGTAGCAGATGACAAAAGTGCCAAGTCGACACCACTTCGTCGCCTTTTGTTGTCTTTTGTTCTCAACTGCAATCTTTGATCGTAATTTTCGTGCACATTAGCCTGAAATATGACATTAGGAATGCGAGAATACTCGTTTGCAACCTTGCTGGGCATACGTGCTTTTCAGGTTCTACAACTGCCCGCAAGTCTTGGCAGTTGTAACTTTAGCTTCAATAATGTGACTTTTTAAACTAACAGTTGTCATGCTAGCAGTTGTCATGTCGCATGTAATTGTTTTAGAATTAGGTCTTCCTTAAAAAGAGACAAAGCAAAAGACAAAATTCAGTTTTCACAGGGAACGACCCTGTTGAGAAGGATTGGTCTTCTTCGGAAGAAATTTTTCAGGGAAGACATCCAAAAGAGAGAAGTCTAGCGCAGTAAGTTTTCTTGTTACCAGATTTGGCGTTGTTATCAGTGTTATCATGATACCCGCCCTCAATCCCATGCATCAGCTGTTCTGGGCAAACGAACCAATTTATTTTTTTCTGAACCTCACTCCCTTTAGTGTCGCTTAATAAAACATGCAATATTACAAACTAGGATCACAACCAGAATCAAATCTTTTACTTCTGACCTCAACATCTAAAAACTTAAAGAAGCTGAACTTTTATATCATTACTTTTTTTAAGAAAAAGCATTTTTATGTTCTAAAGATTCATTTTTAACTTGGAAAATTTGTATTTTCCAAGTCGTAGTGGTGGGACGATTTGACTCCATCACTCCATCACTCCATGACTCCTTCACTCTTTCACTCTTTCACTCCTTCACTCCTTCACTCCTTCACTCCTGTACTCCTTCGCTCCTTCGCTCCTTCGCTCCTTCGCTCCTTCGCTCCTTCGCTCCTTCGCTCCTTCGCTCCTTCGC